GAGTATAAAGTTGAAAATACACCACTCTAAGGTCCATATCGGCTTATGGAAATACCAAAAAATACTTTTTTAAGAATAAATGTTCTAAAAGAACTTGATATGTGTACGTTTTGAGATCAATTTTTTCCAAAATTTTATATTTATTAATACGGGTATTTAATTCCTTAAATAGAAAGTTTTTTCTCAATTATTCTGAATATTGCAATTACTGAAAGACATAGGAGGGTTTTTAAGATATTAATTACCCAACGTAGACGATCGAGTAAGTCGAATCCATTTTGACCAAAAGGTTATTTAATTCACACCATTTAGAGTCAATCTTAATAGTCCGTAATCGATAGCTTGGTTTATTATGCCCGAAACTTTTATTAACTACTATACAGACACGTGACAAAGAGTGGCTCAACAACTTCAAAAACAAAGTAACTTGAAGATCTGACAAAGCATGTTATTACGAAGCCTACCATGAGTCTCCTGAATCCAATCGTTTTAAATTTCCATGGGTGACAACCGATCAAATCTACCATGTTTACGCATAGCTCAGTGCTTTTCTAATTCTCAGGTTTTATTATTTATTGATGGTTCGTCTGAACAAAGAATACGAAGTTGACCGTCATTACTCATAGTACCTAACTCAAGCTGTCTCCCATTATCTAGGTTCCACTCATTCAAGTCAACTTTCCTTTAATGACTAATGTTCTGGCTCGGCTCTCATTCTTCCTTCCTAATTTTCTACCTTTAGATCTTCCTGTTTGGCCACGACTGTTGTACCCTCTTAGCTTTTAAGAAGACTAATTGAGTTTATGCGGATAGCCCTAGTCTAGCTTGGTCGGACACCTAAAGTAGTTCCGATATTGAGGTCCGGTACTACTTTGAATAGAGTCAACTACTTATTGCGGAGGGGAATTTGTCGTATAGTCGTAAGTTCCAGTTAATTTCTAATAAAAGAGGAAAAACCCTGCAATTTTATTCGCTTTCCATTATTTTTTGCTTTCACTCAACTAGAGGAGTGGAGAAATTATGCAATTACCGTATTCACATTTAGTTCCGCAATTTTCGTACCTTTTTTATTTAGAGTGAAAGCGTATTTTTTGCCTAAAGTAATTTTAAAATCAATTTTAAAAAATTCTGAATGTGAATATTGCTTTAAGTTAGTTTAAACGTTAGTTATTGAACAAATATTAGTTTTATTCCCATTGGTTATTTACAGGGCAGTCTAATTCAGCGTTCATTCGTCAAGTAGTGAGCGGCCAGTCTCATTAAGCTGAAGCACGCACCAATAGGATGAGAAGAATTTCCACTCTTGGTGTAAAAAAGGGCATCACAACACACAAATAGATAATGACACAGCTACCGGTAGGGAAACAATGGTGCTTTTCAGAAAATGCTCGCCTTATCGAGGACACGTATTTATTGTCATCGGATAAACTGCGTTTATTGTTTAATTACGGACTTCTGGTTTTTCCGAGCTTGTCTTCCTTATTAGCTTTCTGTAATTCAGTTGCTATACTACGCATTTGTGTCCGTGGATATTATGAAAATGGTCCATACCTTATCTCATACTGCCTTCTAAAACTTCTTGCGGATTCCTTAGTGTGCATTACAGCTCTTCCTCGATTTACATTAATATCAACTTCAGATGTAGCTGAACAAAAGTTAGCGGCACAAGTTCCTGCTCTTCTTATGACCCAACAGTCTTTTCAACTAGCTGCAACTTGGCTTATATGCCTCCTTCTACTTTTCCAGGTTCTTATCCTCAATAAACTTGCCAAAACAGTTATGGCAATCTGTGGATTTCCTTCTCGCGTTACAGGAATTAACTCTTGCCATTGTATCAATCCAGTTCTTAAACCTTTTTCCGACAAAGCATGCCACGAAGAGCCGAAAAATTGTCGATTTTATAGTCATTCCATTGTTGGTATTGGAAGCATTGTCATCTTTTCAACTCTCTTGGTGGCACCACAAATTGGAAACTATCAAATTGAAGCTGTTAGACGTTGGCCTAAGTGGTGCGTAATACATGATCTGGGTTCACCTATATACGAGTATACCCTCGGTATTCTCACATTTTTGATTCCAGCTGTTTGCTTCCTTGTGCTTCTTCTTGTTTTATCGATCAAAGTTGTCAAAATCAGCCGAAAAATTCAGCGTTGTGTTTATAATCTATCGTCTGAAAATTCAGAGGAAAAACAAGGGGAAACTATTCTAAGGGAGAGTAAATTTGTGACCTTACTGGGTCTAATTGAATTTATAAGTTGGCTTCCCATAACTGCACAGGATAATCTTCATCGCCAAGCTTGGATACCCAATGTTGATGAAGAGGCTAACATTTGGATGATATGTGAAATTGTTTTACTTGTAGGCGATCTCTTATCTCAGGCTTTGCTTGCAACAAAGACCACTTATGAGCTATCCAAATGCTTCAAGTCTACTACGTCGATCAGTTCCAAGGACGGGGAGGCCGAAACCACTGATTTGCAAACAAGTAGGCACTACACGTCAGCCGATGATAGTCTGGAGCCATTATATACTTCACAAACGAGTTCTCAAAATCCAAATCAAAGAAAATCAGTCCTCCATGTCCGATTATCACCTCCACCACTACCTTCACCTGATTACACCTACAAAGAACTGGAATTTTCGGGTCAAAGGGCCTTTGAGTTCTCTTCAGACAAGGTGTCCTGCTTTTATAAAGAAAATTCCACTCTCCCCTTCTCCTATGCCTTTCCAGAGAATGAGGAGTTCTCCAAATGTGAATTACCAGTTACGGAAGAATTATTTGATTCCTCCAACGGCGTATTGGTTTCTCATTTATGATCTCTGTATCTTTTCTTCCACTTTTTCCATTCGCAGAAATTCTTACTTGAGATAGATTTATATTTTAAGCTGAAATGTGCTTATAAAACTATACACTTATGCTTGCAATACAATGAATAGTCTTTTACTCATATTAACTGCTGGGATCTAATAAATTTTCAAATAATAGCAGGCCAATTGGTCCTTATCAAGTACCAAATTAGTAAGTCATTGTTTCTAAATTCTATTATTCGGCTTCACTCATATTAAGTTTTTCTATCGAAGCTGTGAAGCTCCAATAGTTTTGTCTATTCAAACAAATCAAGGAGCAAGTTAAAAAAGGATATTACTATGCCTTCTGGACACCGTAGAGTAGTAGGAATTCAGTGGAACGACATCAGCTCAGAAAGTGAAAGGGTTTAACCATAATATATGAATTGCCTCAAATGTAATACAAATGGATACTTAAGAGGGGAATGCCCGTTTTAATAAAACCTGAAAAACAAAGAAAATTAAAGCGAAAACAAGAGATGGAAAATTTTTACTGCAGAATGTCTCTGGTAAGCAAGACTCAAGACACCGCAAAAACCTACACCTACTGAGTGGAACGGTTTTCTCCAGGGGTTAACTTTGATCGATTAAGAGGGTGAAAGAATTTTAATTTCTAATCTGGAAGAGTTATTCCCTTTAAATCAAATGAGCTCTATTGAGTTGGCTTGAAAGTTGGGAACTATTTTATATCGAATTAAAATTCATTTTTAAGCATATTTAGGTAATATTATACTCCAGTTTCATCATATTATTTAACATTAAGTCGAGTTTTGTTTAATTCTAATTACAAAATAATGCCCATGCCACACGTCTTGGTCATTAATTAATACTAGTAACTGGTTAATCGCATTTTATGAATTAAAATTCCTCAAGGAATTAATTTCATCTGTTTAAAATATATTTAAGCAGGTACGACTTGGGCTCTGATTGCCGGTGACAAGTTTGTAAATGTGGAGTTTTCATAAAATGTTAAAGATTTTTTTAACTATGGGTTGTAGCGGATTGCTACTTTATTCTCGAACATGTAGCGGATTGCTACTTTATTAAAGCCTGACTGACTCAGAAATCTCTATGGCAGATTCTCCTACATCTACCTAGACTCCCAGAACCAACTAAGCTATAGCCCAGCTATAAAGGAAACAGACGTGTAGCAAGGAGCACGTTTATTCAGTGAGTATATTGCGGACCAAGCGTGTACACGCAGGGAGCTACTCATGATCAGGTTGGGGGTTTAGGTTAAACAGAGGTTAATGATTGGTCACTGTTTGTACGATCGCGTTAAACAGAGGTTAATGATTGGCCACTGTTTGTACGGTCAATCATGATCAGGATGGCGGATTAGGTCAAACAAACAGAGGCTAGTGGTCACTGTTTGTACGGTCACTGCACACAGAGTTGTACGGCCACACCTCCCAGGCAGACATGCAGGCATACGATGACGCACACAGCGATAACGTGTCCCACAGGTATATAAAACAACTTTTTACACTGTTAGTTAAAAGGGTAGATTATCTTCAAAAATTACGTTTATCAGAGTTTAGAAAACACAAAGTTATTTCAAAATTTTATATTAAAGGAGTGGGGTGTGCGTTAGACTTACCTCCACGTGGTGCACCCTGGGCAACGTATACTCATACGGCAAAAAAGTCTATTATTCAGCAGTTGACTTCTGACTTCAAACTACCAAGACCCCACTGCATTTCATATTCGAATAATTTCACAGTACTCACCTCACCTTTTTCTACCTTTGTGTCTGTCTGTCTCTTTTACGTTTGTGAAGCATTATTCTGTCCCCCTCTCGACGTTTTGCCACTTTGATGTTCATCTTCCTTTCTGTAAAGCCTGAAGTCAACTAAAGGGCTAATGATACCTATCATAACGCCTGCCATTTGAAATAAATAAATAAATATTAAAGGAGTACTAAATTTCATTTAAAGGCCATGATATTTGTGTACTGTCAAATTTTTAAGGCACAGATTATGGGCAGGTGAATTTTAGGCATTAGCAGAGCTGCCAGGCAAACTTTTGGACTTCTGAATAATAAATTCACATTTTTCAAGGAAATACGGGCAAACCGCTCCAATTAATTGAATGCTATTAAAGGGGGAAGATTATTACGCAGAGGAAATCGTCAACCTTCTAAGGGTGAGCATGCAAAAAGTTATGAAATGAATCGAAATCTTTCAATTAAACATTTTTTAATCATGAAAAATTAATAAAGTTGCATTTTTACATTGTTTTGTAATCAAAATGACAAATATCACAGACTTATTTATATATACATCAAATGCCAGGCGTTATGATAGTTATCATTAGCCCTTTAGTTGACTTCAGGCTTCACAGCGGGGACGGAGCATCAAAGTGAAAAAAAGTCGAGAGAGGGGAGGAACAGAAGAGCGTTTCAAAGATGCAAAAGAGATAGACACAAAGGTAGAAAAAAGGTGAGGTGAGTACTGTGAAATGATCGAATATGACATGGAGTCACCTCATGGTAGTTTAAAGTCAGAAGTCAATTGCCGATTGATAGACCCGAATATGACATAGAGAAGTCAATTGCCGATTGATAGACCTTTTTGCCGTATGAGTATACGTTGCCCAGGGTGCACCACGTCTAGGTAGGTCTATCGCACACAGACTTTGTACTAGTACTTTTCATCGAATAGTCAAATAATGATTGTGTATGAGGTTAAAATGATTTGAATTTTTCATTTAGACTCAATTTTAAAGTAGAAATGGGATTATACCAAGATGTGCATATTTTCACACATAAGTCAACTATGTTACCCGAAAAAATAACAAATTTTCCCATGTCAAGACAGTAAAGTTACAATTGAGAGCAAATACACATCTGCATTGTCGTGAAAGGAAATGTGCGTGGAGGTGAGAGGAGAGGAGAGACATCAAAGCTTCCATGTAGTGTGTGAGATACCATAGAGGGAAAAAAGTAGAGACATATTGGCAGAGTCATTACGATGTAGTCCTAGGTACAACTTAATCATCGATACGCTGATGGGGACGGATGAGGAATGGTGACTTCATTGAGTGTCTGGGCTTAGTCTCACATGAAGGAACTACAATAAAATATCACTACAATTCAAGCCTAAGAGTAAGTGGCTTGAGTTCCACTCTCATGGGAGAGGTCAGATGCTATTGGCTGGATTATGCTACAGCTTACTTAATCAGTAAGATCCAGAGAAGAATGCAAATTAATTAGAATGTACGTTATATTTTGTCCTATCTTAAGGGGAAATAAAAAATGTGTATTTAAATGAGGGAGGTTATTTTAGTCAAATGTGTGGACGACTATGTTCTACTAGGAAGATATACTCTCTCGGAGTTAATGCAAACGAATATGTATTGATGGGTCACTTTGAAGAGTACGATTTTGTGTTAAGGTAGGGGGAAAAATAAAAATCTAAATTTCATTATACTGCTTAAGTTTAAATCTAATGTCCCCACAATTGTAATTCTTGAAAATTATTTCAATTTACTAATCATGTTATTCGTTATTGAGCATATCACTTTCATTTATTGTTTTATCAAGCTATTTAATAATCTCCAATAGAAAAGTAAATTTCCTAATCTACTCGTCAATTGCAATCTTAAAACATTAAATTGGCAGAATAAAGGTTAGTAAAGAAGTTCAACAATAATTTTTCACCCTAATTTTGATTGAGGCGCTTCAGAACAAATGCGAATTGAAAACCTTAGCCAAGTTGATTATTTTTGTATGCAAAATCGGGAATGAGAGGGGATTGAGTGTCGAACCTCGCGGCATAAATCATGACGACTGGCGCCGAATGCAATATCCGTCGTTGAATAACTTTTGCATAAGCATGCAATGCAACTCGAGTGCAGAGAGGGTTAAGCTCAATAAAAATTTTCATAAAATCTCCCATCCGCTCACTTTGCTCCGCATGCATTTTCACACCTACCGCAGAACATCAATTGGGTGGGTTGAGTTACCATGGTGGATGAAACCTGCTAACCAGAATACGCACATTTTCCTCTGCTCCCCATTCGGTCGGCGGTGGACAAAGCAAACGGCCTTTTGAATAAAACGCTTCCACCTCTAACGAAGGGAAGTTAATGAGTATTTCGCACAGTTGTTGACTAAGTAGGACAAGTACTACAGCTGTGGACTTCCAAAAATTGACAGAAAGTGAAGTTATAAAGAAAATCTTCACTTATCAACAAAATGTATAACCCAGTCGAAATGGAGGCCTTTACATGGGTAGTAAATACTTTAATAAACTTAAGGATATGGTCTAATTACATGATTTCGAATTTCTATACATATCTATGCAGTCATGTTCAATCCCAACTGAAATTTCAAATTTCTCATGTAAACAATATTTGAATTTAAATGAGTCTACTACAGCAAGAAGGTCGAACTATTTGCGTCTGCCAGACAATAATATTCGAAAGCATTGCTCCTCGTGCGTGCTAATTTATGAATTGTTTTTTGCGTGCCTAATGCGCCTAAGTGAAATCCCATTATTTCTTCATCATTGACTGCCTACCCAACGCAACTCTTCTTTAGTCTGATGCACAACTTTTCCCAAAATAATTGTACTCCAGCTGGTCCCATTTACTTGAACTTTTGACAGCAGTCTGTTATGCCAAGCATTAGGGATGACTTTGAAGATAGAGAGTTTTGTTTTCAGCAAGATATACTTACCTCCACGTGGTATACCCTGGGCAACGTATACCCGTACGGCAAAAAAGTCTATTAACCGGCAGTTGACTTCTCACTTCAAGCTACCATCACCCCACTGTATGCCATATTCTACCACTTCCACAGTAATAATTTACCTTT